CCCTATGCAACAGAAAAACTATATCCGGAATTTCCTGTCCACTGAGCAAAACTGTGGAACCCAGATGCGGCGTCCATGTTCATGTTCTGTCATGCAGGTCCAGCCAGCACTCCTAACTGAACTTTAAAAGACACCGTCTATTATTAGTTTAAAAAGGATCTTTGTGGTGTTTGTTTTTTTTCACATGCAGAAAATTCCCCTATTTCACAACACTCTTGAACAGCATTTGGGGGTGGGAGAACACGGGGCACTTACCAAGGGGAACACTCTGGCGCTGTCGTCCTTTCTAAACAAAGCATCTTCTGTGCTGGTGGACACCAGCGACTCCTTTGGGGCCGCTGCTTTGCCTTCTGGGTTGAGGTAGCATGAGACTCTCTTTCCTTTCCTCCACCCTCCCTTTTCTGGTCCTACTTCACGTTCGGGCGTCTGATCGGTCTTCTCCACAAGCTCATCCGAGGGCTGTTGCTCCTCAGAACCGTTTTGATCCAAATTAGGAATTTCAGATGGTGAAAGCTCAACTACTTCAGAACCCTCCGGTTCTAATAAATGCTCTGACCCGCCGCCACTCTGTTTTTTCTGAAAAGAGAAATGAAAGGAGATTGTAATTCTGATACAGTACACGTTGCTCCGTGCCCCACCCCCAGCCACTTCCCTTTTCTTCCCCATTTCTAATCCGTCTGTCTGTCTGTCAGCCTCACTCTGGAACTGCTGTTGTTGTCAGCTGCTGTCAAGTCAAGTCTGACTCACAGGGACCCCGTGCATGCAGAGTACAACTGCTCCATTGGGTTTTCAAGGCTGTGACCTTTCAGAAGGAGATCACCAGACCTGTCTTTCCAGGTTCCTCTGGGTGAGTTCAAACTGCCAACCTTGTGGTTAGTACTTGAGTGATTAACCATTCGTGCCAGCCACCTACTTTGGAATTAAAAAGGAGCCTGGGACATTCTGTATCTAAATAAAATGAATCATGGTTGTGTCAGGTTTATTCTCAGCCTACGAGCAGACCCACAACAGCAAAATCCTTCTTCTAAGTGGCACTGGTGGTCTCTGAAAGGCTGACTGGCCACAGTTATTCATTCTTGGACCAGAGCTGAGTTCTCCTGCAGGAACCAGTCTATGGGAAGCCTACATTACTATTACTGCACTGCCTCTCTTCTAAGACAAGTACCTTCGGTTAACCCCACCAGCCCTTTCAGCGTCAGCCACCACTACTCATCTCCTTCAGGAAGCTCTCCCTGACCATCCTCCAGGCCGAGTTAAGTAGCCGTTTTTAAATCACACTTGCGTCTCTCAATCACTGTACTTCGCATATTGTTTTATAATGTTCGGTTATGGATCTGCCTCCCTAGTACACACCCTAGAGCTCCTTGAGAGATGCACTGAGTCTTGGTATGTTTTGTATCCCCATAGCATGCTCGTATATTAAGCACTCAATTAATGATTCTCAATGAATACATGAATGAATCAGTGAAGATTACTACTTACGGGGGAAGCTCCTGACTCGATTGACCGGGAACCAGGAAACGTAAGTTGTTCAAAACTCATCATAGCCTGGGTGATTTCTTGGGGCACAGCGATTTCTTCCTGTTCTCCTGCAATCTCCTCCTCCTGACCTTCTCCAGCCTGTTCCTCCATTTCCTTTGCTATAGCTGCCTCTGTCTCCTGAGACTCCTTCCATGCTAATGTGTCCTCTTCTCCTTCTTCATCTTCTAGCTTTTGGTAATCTGGATTATATTCTTCTTCATCTTCTAG